CTCAGGACCGAAGAGAAAGAGAGTCGGGGAAGCGGCGGTGGGGGGGAAGAAACGGCGACCGGGCACTGCTGTAGAAGCGAGTAGGGCGGCCGAGGCGGCACTTGTGGCGAACTACTTTTTTTTTTTCCTCCCATCATCGGATTCTGTGGACTGCCCCTCTGGCCCCTATCCTCCACTTCTATTCTACTAGCTAGACGACCCAACCGGGGCCACATAGGAGGGGGGGGCTGGACCCCCTCCTGCGGTTAGTGCCTGAGGTATTTTTATCGCGAGAAGGGTACAGCAATCCCTTCCCTCGCGACTTATTAAGTCGATCATGGTTTACTAACAACGAGCTTTGCAACGCATCGCTTTCATCCTAGACCAGGATATATTTAGTGAGAAAAACACTCACTCTGCCGGGACTCGAACGCATGACCTGGCCCTTCACAAGCTGCGAGGTTACCCACTAGACCACCGCGGCAACCGGTGTAATGTGCTTTGTACCCGGCTAATATTGTTGCGCCCTGTTTCCCTCCCTGCTTTATGCTATACTCCTTTATGTATGTCCTTTGTTTGCCTTCGGCCTCTGTGCCGTGTTTATTTTTCTCTTTTTTTTGATGTCCTCCCTGCCTACTCTACTGTGTTGGGTACCTTTTGCTGTTGCTTTTGTTTTTATACATCTGCCTGTCTGCCCATCTGCCGCCTCTTTGTCCTGTTTGCTCCGTTGCTCCCATGCCCTGGTGCGTAGTGCCTGGTGCTGGTACGTTACCCTTTGATTTTTTCTTAAGGCGGGTGTGGGAAGCGTCCTCCTATTTTTTTGTCTTTGTTTTATTTTGATCGATTCCGGAGGACTCTTTTCTCAACCGGTCGGTGCGGTTCCTGTTCTCCTCTGTTTCTTTTTCGGAGTGGTTTGCACCCTGTTGTTGTTTTTGTTCCCCCGCGGCGTCGTATGTGCCGGGTTTTGAGACCACGGGCTCCCCATCTTCGTGGACTAAAGAGCTAATGTGAGAAACAACAACAACAAACAACCCTAGTGAATCGTGCACGCATGTGTGTTCATTTCGATGCTCGCTCATCTAACCGCCTACAGACCTCTTGGCGATGCACGCAAAGCTTGGCAGAGAGCTGACATCCAGCAGAGCACGGTATGAAGTAAACTACTTTCTTTGAGCGAGATCTGCTCTAAGTTGAGAGATAGAGTCGTCGTCGTGAAATTCTTTCATCAACGCAGGTCAACGGCAGCTGTTTTGCGCAGTCCTACATCAAGAAGCCCGCAGCTTTACTGTTACACATTGCTCGCTGAGTTCGCAGCGTATAGATGCGAGACCAAGACCCGCCGACCCCCCTGATCATGGCCGTTGTTCGGAGCTATTGTTCGCACCCTTGGATGCCGTGTGGCTCTCATGGTCATGGTTTGAATCCTCGCAACCGGCACAAACAGGCCGCGTTCGCCGCTTATCTTCCGCTTCTTTTTTATTTTCGATCCCCCGCCTGCCTTGAGTACCCCCCCCCCCCGCCTGCCTTGTGTACGGTATGTATTATTGTAGAGTAAAAGAGAAGCCGAAATCAGAAACGAAATCCAAGCGTGAAATCCTATTACGGTTTTGGATTCTGGATGGAACATGTGTTTGACAAGGTCCACTCTCATGTCCAGGTCGTCATCCAAATCCCACGAACCACGGTAGAGGTATTCCCCACAAGAATACATGGAACGGCAGACACCCAGGCACAAGCCCACGCACACCCGCGCTGGTGCTGCTCTATCCAACGTCTTCTTTCGGAACAGTAGAGTAAATGTACCAATTAAGAGACACTTGAGCCACCCTCCGCTCAAACAGCTCGTTCTTGACTATTAGGACGAATATCGTTGACGTCGAGGTATCGTACGATAGCTAACATCACAGGCTACCCCCCAAAAAAAAAAAAAAAATCGTAAGCGCTGGGAAGATATGGCGTCCGTCGAGGCAGAGCACTCGCACCGCATCTATGAGCTGCTGCCGACCGAAACTCAGAAAGTGTCGAGAAGCGTAGATCAACACATCTTCCACCGCATCTTCTTCCGCCTTGCTCAGCACAGTCTCGGGGCCAACCCTCGCATCCATGGCCATAGCACCGCTCAAACGTCGCGAGAGCGCGTCCTTGTTCACCCCGTAGGCCTTGGCAGCAGCCCTGAGAGACAACTGACCACTGCGGACCGCATCGCAAGCCTTCTGCGCCTGTTGTGGGTCTACTCTTGCCCGGCCCATGCTCGCAATGCTTAGCATCAGACCCGCCACAGGGATGAAAATGACCCGCATCACGGGTGTGGGAGGGCGTGTTGCTGTATCTCGTGGGTGCGTGACCCGATCGGGACGCTGAAGTGCTCAAACGAAAGCTAACGGAACGCTTACAAATTTGAAAAAGAAATCAGGGGTCCCCGCGGATTGTGCGCGGAGATATGTGCATTTGAAAAAATGTGTCTCTTAATGGGGGTGTATTTACTCTAGCATGTAGCGGAGACTACCACCCGGCCGCAGAGAACAAACACGCGAGACAGTTATAGTAGTGTCGCAGAAAACACTCAACGATGGAAGAGGCCGGCCACAATGTGCTCGTTATTGTTGTCCTGTGGAGGCTGCCGACGTCGCCATGCTTCTATTTTACGCTGCTGGTGCTGTGATCGGGCCGTACCGATTCGAAACCCTCTAGAGTTAGCGGAACGGTTGGCGCACTGCGGTAGACTTGCACTATTACGGGCTCAGCCTGGTCAATGTTTACCCGTTCGTGGCCATCTTCGGTGTCCACACCGCGCGAACGACTTGATCGAAAAGTGTTGTTCCCAGCGTGTCCGTGGCCATGTCATCTTGTGTGCTGCCATAAGCTTGTCCTGAAGACAGCATCAAGCGGAACAACAAGCTGTAGGAGGAGGGGGAGGAGTAGGCACCGCGCGTCCGATACTACTTGACCCTGCCCGGTCGCCTGACTGGCTTCCCTCCCTCGCTGTACCTTGACACCTTCACCCCGGTCCTACACGCGCCGTCGTATCACCTCAGGTCAGATCGGCCGTCGCCCTTGATGGGGTTGTGATATCCTTGGTGCCTTTCCTTCTGGCGCTGTCTCTGCACGAGGAGGGTCCCAGCATCAGCCGTAGGAAAAGCGGCGCCGCGAGATGAAGATGAAAGGACCCTCCCCCCCCCCCCCCCCC